CTCTCATGTGTCATATGGGTAACATGCTTTCCCTGGGCAACATGCAGCACGCTGGTCACCTCCACCTCTGATGCTTGCTCACTCCAGCAGGGAAGGAAGAGGGGTGCAGCCACCCAGAGGCAGGAGTGCCCTCTGAAGCAGTGGCAGCTCCACTGTCCTGGATGCTTACTGCCAAATGGAAAGGGGGTGCAGCCTTGCCAGGTCATCTAAAAAGTCGGAAATGAGGATTTTTATATAAAATTTCCTTAGTTTTGAATATCAGCCACTAGTTAAAATTTTACCGTTACCTGGGGGCCAAACCAAATATATCTTCAGGTTGGCTCTTGCTTACTACCCCAGAATTTGCAAACCTCTAAGACATCTGTCCTCTGTCTCCCAAGCGCTGCAATCCTGGTCAGGTCAGCTGGGCTCTGCCACATTTCCAAATGGGGCTATGTCCTCAGGTGCTTCAGCTGGCTTCCTTGTCCTATCCAAGAGTGGCCTCAATAGATTTCTTTACAGATGGAATCACATAACTTATCAATTACCCAAAAGGTGAGCTGGGGTCATTTTGCTGCTTTTGTCCAACTCACAGGTGAAGCAAGAAGCAGTTGTTCTCATGAGGAAATGTGGTTCCTGAGTCAGAGGACTGTGGTCCAGTCTTGGTCCCTTATCTTTCTAGCTACACAACCCTGACAATATGAGTTGGAGTCTTTAAGCTTGACTTTCTCTTTTGCACAAGATAAAACAACACACCTCCACACCTGGCACAGTGGGCACTCCACGACGGCAGTTTTCCTTCCTGTTCCAGAGGAAGGGCCTCTTCTGAAGGATGTACAACAAGAGGCCAAAAATGGGGAGGGAAGTTGGTTAATTTGGACCCTCTTGAAGAGTAGGGTGGAATGAGAGCTTCTGTCTCCCATTTACATCCCCACTGAAAGTCCCTCACTGCAGGCCCCACCCCGCTAGAGCCCTCTAATATAGAAGATGGGCTTCGAGATGGACCCATGAGTGCAGAGCTCAGGGGTCCCAATGGAGAATAGGTCAGATCACAGGCTTTGGAGGCAGAACTCTACGACCTGGACAAAATCCTTCCCCCTGTGATCCTGAGCAATCTTACCTATAAGTCCAGACCATGAAAGCCTGATGCTCACAATAGCTCTATCCCCATTACCTCACCTTCTACCTTCTTCTAAGCCCAAATGCTAGATCACCAACTATATCACCTAAAAACCTCAGCAACTTAGCGAGGCCCAAAGTAACTTGGTGAGAACTTGTCTCAAAATAAAAACTAAAAAGGACTGGCGATATAGCTCAGTGGTGAAGTACCCCTGGGTTTAATTTCCAGTACTTTCCCCTCAAAAAAAAAAAAAAATCAAAGTTCCCCTTTGCCCCAAGAATATCATCTGCTTGGGACTGGACATCTTCTCCCTCCCTGTCCCTCTCCAACTCTGATCTTCCCTATCCTCTGCAGAGGGCTGTATACAGCCAGCACTCACACGATGTCCACCATGTTGGTGCAAAAAGACTCACACAGTGAGGCTGGAGGGACTTTCTAGCACAGCAGAGCAGAAGCTACTGTCTTTTACTGGGGACACTCGCAGCACGTGCCAGGCATCATGCCAAACACTTTACTTGCGTTATTTCATGTAATCCTCTCAGGAGTCTGGGCAACAGGTCCTACTATTATTATTCCAGTCTTTCCAACATGAGAGCAGGCTTGGAGAAGGCCGGAAGCTTGCTCTGGGATATGTAGTTAGTGAGGGAGGTCAGCTAGTTTTCCCAACTAGGTTCTTAGCATTCAGTTACAGCCCTGTCCATTTGGCCCTGAAGAACCATGAAAAGGCCAGCGGATGGGACAGAGCTGAAGACAAAGACTCATTCCAAGCTGAGGCCGCAACAAGGAGGGTGGGATAAGACTAAACAAGCAAGCAGCACAGGGGACCTCTCAAGGCAGTCTTCACCCTGGGTGCCTGACCCAGGATCAGAGGATTAGCATCTGATTCGTGCCAAGGTCCCTGCTCTCTGCTCACTGGGGTTTTCTTGACTGAAGTTTGCAGGCCTATAGATTTATTTTCAATCTAGTTCAGACACACTGTGTTCAAGCTTTCCAGAAATGCACTTCTTGGGCAGGGGGACATTATAACTCCCTTAAATTGCCTAAATAAGGGAATTACATAAGATTTTGGTGAAACAGGGAACAGATTTGTTTTATTTCTTCTCACATGGCCAGGCTGGGAGGCACTGGACCCTATAGTCAATATCACTCCTGCCACTGACAATGCTCTGGTCCTAGAACTTTTCAGTTTTCAGTGCAAAAGAACTCAAGTTCCACACTCTTCTCTCATATATTCCTTTCACAGAGACTTCCAGATAACTCTGGAGTCCCCATTGCCTACCCCTAGTCGTCCTTTTCCTGCCCTCACCACCTAAAGGCCCCAAGAATGTGCTATTCATCAACACTGATGGTGGGGTTTTCCATGAGGGACCCCAGATGCAGAGCAACTAGATGCTCCATCCATTTCAATGGATTTGTTTTAAGCTGTGGACATAGCCCACTGTCTTAGGTATCCTGGCCCTTGGGAGGTTTAGGTGAAAATTCAGTAGGGGAAGGTAGGTGGCAGGAAGAGGGGGTGTGGTCTCCGGTCCCATGCTTCTCTTCCTGAGAGGCATGTGAAGGAAGGACCCAAAGGCCCTGGGCCAAGCATCCCTTGGTCACCATAGGCCTGCCCAAGATGGGCAGGCTACCAGGAACATCTAACGAGCCCCCAGGGATGAGGGAGGAAACTGCCTCAAGCCACACTGAGGATGAGCCTGTTCAGTCACTATTGAGCATTCCCCTTTGGAACTCCCAGACAGGCAAAGGATCTGCACATAGATAGGAGGTAGAGACAGGTATTAAGGGCCAGGCAGAAGCTCAGGGAGGGGAAGTATGCCAGGTGTGGTAGCTCAGTCAAGTGTGGATATGTGTTCCATAGTTCAGTAGGTGGGGGTATTGCTGAACTATTCTAGGGATTTGGTAGGACTGGAAAAGGGGTTCCATCTGGGAAGACCTGGCCCCAAGAGCACAGTGGAAGGGGTCTTTTCTTTAGGACTTCCAGTCTGATGAATACTATGGCCTGCATTTCAGGCCCTCTGAATCTCTCACCTAGACACCCTTGTACAATCTGTGACAGTCCTGACAAATAAACTGGTGTGACCTGTACAGGGGGTTTTGGTGTGTGACAAAAGTCCCCACTAGAGCCTAACTGTGGAAATGAGCCAGGTACTAGGACTGTGCAGTCAATAACTAAGAGTTCAGCTGTTTTCAGGAAGCAGGTCCTCTTATTTTCCCCCTTCACAGTTCCCCAGTTCTGCTTTCCAGTCACCCTTTTCTGAGTTGGACACAACACTTACTGCATTTTCTGAGTGGGACACTTATTGCATCTATCATGGCCCTGTGAGCCAGTCCAGTTTCCCCAAGGTATAAGTGAAGTCCATCAGAGGATCTGTCTCCACTTCACCTCACTTCCCAAACTAAGAGGGTCTGAAGGCCAAAAATGAGTCAAGGTCACGGCAGAAATAGCAAGGCAGTCAGCCTGAGGCTAAACACACCTGTTCATCCTCACTTCACAAGCTGGAGCATCCAAGGGGCTGCAGTCACCCCCCGCACCATCCCCTCCTCAGGAAAAACTGCCCTAGCTTTGTGCAGGATGTGTAAGAGTGGTCCAAGGTCAATGTATATCAAGAATGATAGCTAATACCTATTGAGCAGTTTCTGTACCAAGCCCTGTCTTAAGGACTTTTCAAACATGTGATGATTTAATACTCAGAAACCTGAGTTAGGTGCAATTATTATCCCCATTTTACAAATAAGGAAACCAAGGTCCACAGAAGTAGCTTGCTCCAGGTCACAGGGATACTAAATACTAAGTGGCTGAGGTAGGATCTGAACCCAGGCTGTCTGCAATGCTTCAGATAGATGTTAACACAGGGCTACTCAGGTCACTGGAGCCCTGCCTTAATTTAAGTGCTGATTCTGCTCTTTCCTTTTGTAAATAGGATGTTTTTAGGGGTGGGGATGCTGTGAGGAGAGGAAGCCTGGACTGTTTCAGTCTGTAACCTCTAATTTGCTTTATTCTAATTTATACAAGGTGACAACCAGTTAAAGGGCTTGGAGAAACATTTGTTGGGCACCTATAAGCCTATGCCCATATACTGCACCTAGTTTTATCAAATCCCCAAGATAGCTCTGCAAGATACCTAGGACTGAGTCCTCTTCCCAAATAAGGAAACTGGGGAGCAGAAAGTACTTACTGGGCTGGGGACTCAGGTCCCTCTGATTCCAAAGCCTGAATGGCCAAGAGGAGCTGGGAGTAAAGAGGCAAGAGCAGAAACGGGAAAGGGAGGCGACCAGAGGAAGGTGGCCCAAAAGGATGGCATTCCAGGTCACTCTAAAGAGGGCTGGCTCCCAGGACCTGGGGCGGTGGAGATGGGGGTTCCCTCCAGTCAAGGACAGAGGGGCAGGGAAGAAAGATCAGGCGCTCGCCAGCCAGCCACCTCTCCTGGAGTTGCAGTAACTTGCTAGGAATACCAGAACCCCAGTGTTTACAGCACAGCAAGCACCAGACTCCCTCCACCCAGAGCCGTGCTCAGGGGGCGGCACTGGGGGCGGCACCGCCGCCGGTTCTGGCCAGCATCAAAGACAAGGAGATGGACAGGGTGGCCACCGAGTGCAGGCCAGGTGGTCAGCACCCGGAGGCCCCCAGACACAACGGAAAATGTATCTTCCTAGGGGATGAGCGACAGTGAGTGAAACCCCCTCCATGCCCAGAAAGAAAACGGAAGAAAGAGGCCCTCGGCCCCACAGCTCCCCTCTCCTTTCCCTCCCTCCCCTCAGCACTTTCGAAAGAGGTATCGTAACGGATCCCAAGCCTCCCACAGGCCCCCTCCTCCCTCCTTTGTCACGGTCACCTCTGCACAAGGCACCTCTCCAAGCAGCCCTCCCCTCCTTGCACCCCGCGGGTCGCAGCAGCACTCACCCAGCGGCAGGCTGATCCTGGGGCTGAGAGCCCGCGTCGGAGGCGGCGGCAACAGGAGCAGAGAGAGGAGCAGAAGCGGCAGCGGGGTGGCTGGCCCGCTTGCCCGGCCCATCGCGGCGCTTCGACTTCGGACCGCGGCGAGAGACGGCGTCCTCGAGCTCGGGCTCAGGTTGCTAACTGGAGTCGCAGGCAGCAGCCCCGCCCCGCAGTCCGGCCCCCGAGTCACTCCTCCGGCCTCCCCTTGCAGACCTGGGGGTAGGGGACGCGGACGGGGAACGAGTCACGTGGGTAGCCCCTGGCACCGCGATCCTCCCGCCGGGCGCACGTCCTGCCAGTGGGTTCAGACCAAGCTCCCCAGCGAGTGTCGCTCGAAGGGAGGGAGGGAGAGGAGGGCAAGGAGGAAGTTGGGCGGTTAGTCCTGCCTCTCTGGGCTCCGCTCCTGTCCAACCCTCCCCTTCCCTCTTCCTTTTTCCTGGGCGCTGGAAGCATAAGGGGCGCAGGCTTAGTGCACCCCCTCTGGGCTCGCTTGGAGCGGCCAAGCCGCGAGATCAAGTAGCCACCGACGCAGCTGGAGCCCTGGGCCACGAACGACAGAAGACCCCCAGATCCCCGCCCTACCTCTCAGACCCGCCCACCAGCGCGGGGCAGGGCCCCATTCTGGCTCCTCCGAGACCTCAGTTTGAGAATTGTGCGCCTTGGGAAGGTCAGGCCTCGGTCTCTTTCCTTTATGTGAGGCTCCCCCTAGCCCCCCTTCCTGGCACCCACTTGTCTGTGAACAATTGAACTCCGCAGAGCTCATGCAGACAGGGGGGCTGGTTGCTTGCGAATCTAATTTCCGCAAGAGTCAATCCACTGCAGGTCTTAGCTGGCGGTTCACTACATGCTCAGCACTTAGTCTAGGTACCCTGCGGGGGTTTGACCATGCTTAGAATTCTGTCCACCCTAAGCCCGGGAGGCGGGGCAAAATTAGCTTAAGTGGGCTAAGAGAATTTAATGCACTACACTGCCAAGAAAATGAGATCTTCTTCACAATATGCACTTGACCTGGCAGGGGAAAGGACCCACTAATGCTGGAGTAGTATTCCACAATTCTCCCAACATCCCTATGGGTGGAGTTCAGCAATGCTGAGACCAGGGGTTTTCAGTAGTAGCCTGAACCCCTTATTGAATTCTGAAATCAATTTGGTGAAAAACCAACCTAGAAAAAGCAGAGTTCATGGATCACAGAATGGATGTTTTGGGAAACCTGTTTCAGTTTTTCCTAAGTGTGCACAGGATTACAGTAAAATGTAAGTCCTTATTTAACTACAATAACAAAGGAGTTTGAAAGCCTCTGCTATTCAGTTCCGTGCCCTGGGAACCAAGTCTCCAGGAATTTGCTGCAATTGCAAGACAACTCTTTTTCACCCCGCAGCCAAAATCAGTGTCCTCGGAGTCACATCCTTTTGCCCTGCCTCCCTGCTGCCATATCCTCTCCCACAGCAGGCAGAGGGTGAGCACAGCACTCCAAGTGGCCCAGGTCTCCTCTCTTCAAGCCAAATTTATTCTTGTTACATGATATCTGCACCTCCACCATCCTGACATCCTTGTGTGCACATGGTGCAAGCTAGGCATCCCTTTTAAAGGGGCTCCTAGCATTGGATACAGAATTCCACAGGGGCTGGTGGTGTCATTTGCCTGAAGTCCTAGTGACTGGGGAGTCTGAGGCAGGAGGGTCCCAAGTTCAAAGCCAGCTTCAGCAACTTAGTGAAGCCCTAAACAACTCAGCAAGACCCTGTCTCTAAAATAAAAAAATAAAAAGACTATGATCAAAAAAGAAAGAAAAGTGAAAATCAGGCTGGGCACAGTGGCCCATACCTATAATCCCTGGATCCTTAGGCAGTCCAGCCTCAACAATTTTAGTGAGACCTTGTCTCAAGATAAAAATAAAAAGATCTGGGGATAGAGCTCAATGGTAAAGTGCCCCTGGGTTCTATCCCCAGTATCAAAGAAAATCAAGTCACCCCTCTCCTCTGCTCAGTGGTGAAAATCAAAGGGCAAGAATTGTGTTTGGTTGGTTTGTTAACCTGTCCTAAGCATTAGAACAGTGGCAGGCCCTAGTAAATATTGGTTGAATGAATGAATGAGTGTAACCTAAGAGTCACAAAATACTACAGGCTCATTTTAACTAACAATAGAACTTTTTTTTTTTGTACCAGGGATTAAACACAGGGTGCTTACCCACTGAGCCATGTCCCCACTACCCCCACACAGACACCGTTTATTTTGTCCTTTTCTTTCTTTCTTTCTTTCTTTTCTTTTCTTTTTTTTTTTTTTTTTTTGAGACAGGGTCTTGTCAAGTTGCTTAGGGCCTCACTAAATTGCTGAGACTGGCTTTAAATTGTGATCCTCCTGCCTCAGCCTCCCAAGCCGCTGGGATTACAGGCATGCGCTACCATGGCCAGCTATAGAACTAGGTTTTTATATGCTTTGATCCAGTAAAGACCTCCCCCAAATCTGAAATTAGGCAATTAGCTTTTTCAGTTCAACACAGGACTTAGTATCTCTTGTAAATCTATTGATTCTGGCCCAGGTTTCATCCTCCTGAAGTCATTTTGAATATTGCTGTAATATTCCCCTCCCACTTTTGAGTGATCTGTAAATTTAGCTAAGTATTCCTATGCCTTTATACAAGTCATTGATAAAGATAATGGATGAGCAGACCTAACACCCAGATCTTGGTTTCTATAAACCAGTTTCCAATAAAAGGAATAAGGACTCCTTGGAAAATGAAAGGAAAAGTACGAAGTAAACACAGGACAGTTTGTTGGCCCAGAAAGCAAAGAGTGATCAAAGACTTATGGGGTCATGTCAAAAGGAGACCTAGGAGGTGCCTTATTCTGTTACTGAGCAAATTTTGCAGGGCGGGAAGGGACTTAGGAGCCAGCTTGATGACCACTTTTTGCATCAAATAGCATAATGGCTTCCAATGCATGAAATTAAAATATAATCCATTAATTTCTGTAAAGAAAATCTTCTGTAAAGGAAGATTTTCTTTACAGAAAAATGCTGACTAAAAATGTAGACTCAAACAAGAATCATCAATGAATGTGAAACTGGCAAATTATTAGGAAAGTATGATTAGCAAGGTCTCAAAGTCTGTCCCACAAATGACTTTACTAATTACCAAAGGGAAGAATTATCTCTGAGAGAGAGATCTGGTAGCTACCATCTTAACCAAAAGGCCAAAAGTATCATCACTGGTTATAGGACTGTGTGACATAATTTACCTCCTGATTTGATGCAATAAGAAGTATACAACAGGGCTGGGGCTGTAGCTCAGTAATAGAGTGCCCGCCTTGCACGTATGGGGCACTGGGTTTGATCCTCAGCACCACATAAAAAGAAATAAAGATATTGTGTCCATCTACAACTAAAAAATATTTTAAAAAAAGAAGTATACAACAATCTTGTGGCATTCTTGCCGAAAGTGTTTAATCCAGATCTAATAACAAGGATGCAATCAGACATATCCAGTATGTGGGAACATTCTATAAAACAACTAGCCTGAATTCTTCCAAAAGGTCAATCTAGTAACAGGCAAAAAAGATGGGACCATTTTAGGTTCAGAGACTAAAAAGGCATAATGACCAAAGGTAATAAATGAACCTTGATTGAATCTTGGAGAGAAAAAATGCCATGGAGCAATTGGGAAAATTTTAATATAGACTGTGTAAGATGATATTTACTGGGTTTTAAAAAATTTTTTTTGGTATTGGGGATTGAACCTAGGAATGCTTTACCGCTAAGCTACATCCCCAGCCCTTTTATTTTCCTTTTTCAGACAGGATCTAAGTTACTGAGGCTGACTTCAAATTTGTGATCCTCCTGCCTTAGCCTCCAAAATCACTGGGATTACAGGTGTGTAATAAATACCATGCCCAGCTGGTATTTATTGACTTTATTGTTTATTTTCTAGGTTTTTTGTTTTTTTGTTTTTGTATGGGGATTGAACCCAATTTTTTTGAGATAGGGTCTTACTAAGTTACCCTGAACTTGCAATAGTTCTGCCTCAGCTGGGATTACAGGCATGCTCAATATTGCTCATTTTCTTAGGTATGATAATGGTATTTCTTATGTATGATAAAGTCCTTGTTTTTTGGAAATGCCTATTGAGGTTTTTAGAGGTGAAGTGTCATGATACTACAACTTATTTTCAAATACTTCAGCAAAAAAAAAAAAAGTTGTGTGTGTGTGTGTGTGTGTGTGTGTGTTAGAAAGAGTAAGAACATGACTGTGGTAAAACTTTAACAATTTGTCGGGCTGGGGATGTGGCTCAGTGGTAGTGTGCTCACCTGGCATGCGTGCGGCCCACATACAAACAAAGATGTTGTGTCCGCCGATAACTAAAAAATAAAATATTAAAATTCTCTCTCTCTCTCCCTCTCTCTTTAAAAAAAAAACTTTCAAAAAAAAAAAAAACAGTTTGTCAATAAAGGTAAAGTTATGGATATTTTTGTACCGATCCTTTAGCTCTTCATTTGGGAAAAATAAGTAAGACCACCGAAAAAAGAGCCCCGTGGCATGTTATAGGATCCCCTCAATAGGGTTAAAATAGACCAATAGCCCTAATAGGTTGAGCAATTATCTCTGTGCCCTCCTAACTCCACTGTTTAGCCCACGTTTCTCCATATTATCCATAAGACTATTATGGGAAAAACCTTCAAGAAATTTTGTCGAAATGAAGATAATGGTTACAGCATTTCCTTCTCTTGTTTTCTGCTTATTGCCCTTACTTAGAGCAGCACTTGATCTGTGGCCACCTGCTCAATTAGTCTTTGTTGAGAACCTGAATCTCAACATCAGATAGTTCCTAAGGCGGCAGAAAGATTGGTCTGCCTCGTGTCTTGGCAACACAGGGCTATACTCATCTCTGGGGAGAGGAGGCAGGGGCTGCTGCAGCCTCACTTGGTGGTTAATTATATCCTGCTCACGGCTGCTCAAATGCTTCAAAAGTATGTCTTGTGCCAACTGGGCAGCAAGCCCCTTGAGGGCAGTGACAGGTCTTCAGTCTTCCAAACCCCCTTTGCCTCTCATGGCACTCCAGTACGAGCTCCACAGGGCTGACAATAGGAGGGGCCCAATGTTGGCCTGGAGAAGAGCCCTCTAACCCGCATCCCCAGCCTGGCAACCTCAGTCCTCGTGGGCTCCACCGTCTTCTGTGAGTGTGCTAATGTGTTCTCCCCAGACTGGAAGAAACAGAAGGACAACCGACAGAGAAAAATCTCCTTTGAACAGACTTCCTATAGGCTGAAGAGTGGTTCCCAAGCCAATGACATGTCTCTTCTTCCCCTC